CCACAGAATTGTTACTCAGGGACAGACACAGAATTGTTACTGAGGGACACAGAATTGTTACTGAGGGCCACAGAACCGTTACTTAGGGCCACAGAAACGTTAGTTAGGGCCACAGAATTGTTGCTCAGGGACAGACACAGAATTGTTACTGAGGGCCACAGAATTGTTACTGAGTGCCACAGAACCGTTACTTAGGGCCACAGAAACGTTACTCAGGGACACAGAATTGTTACTGAGGGACACAGAATTGTTACTCAGGGCCACAGAATTGTTACTCAGGGACAGACACAGAATTGTTACTCAGGGACACAGAATTGTTACTCAGGGACACAGAATCGTTGAATTAAAGAGTATGTCAGACAACATGCAGAGGAGTGGCAGAGGAGGCAATGTTTTAGGAGCGAGCAGACGTGGCAGCAGAGGAAGGGGTCGAGGCAGCACTAGTCGCAGCCAGAGGCCAGTGCTCCCGGTGTCATCCAGCGGTCGTGTCTCAACCGACAACCCTGCCGTCATCGATTGGTTGGCTCGGTCGTCTTCCTCTTCCCAGGTCACCTCTGACACCTACAGCCAACGGTCGGTGGGTACGTCAGACACAACCGTTAGTTGGCATGGCCCGGGAGCAAGCCCACTGAAATCACGTGTCCTCTACCTGCCCCTGTCCTTTGCTGTTCCCTCACCAAGCGAAGTATCGCATGCTGTGGGCTCAGCCCCACTGTACAGTGAGGAAGAGCTAACAGAGGGCGGTCAGGAATGGGGGGAGACATCCGCCTTTTCAGCAGCCAGGCGAAGAAGTACTGGCGAGGAGAGTGGCTCGGTAGCCGGTCTAGAGACAGGTCTGTCTCCTGACCCAGACGCAGCCGAGGGGGCTAGTAGTGAGGCGGAGACCCTACTTGATGATGAGGAGGTTGATCGCACTTGGCAGCCTCGTCGTCATCAGGTAATTTCTTCCGCATCATCAGGAGAAGAGGGTGCCAGCTTGGCAGCGAGCGAAACAGTCGGTGGGTTGCCCAGGAGGCAGCAGGGTCGCAGCAGTGTCAGTGGAGCCAAACGGCCACGGAGTAGAGCACCAGCTCCACTGCAGCCTACCACCACGGCCAGTAGTGGTGCCGGTGCACACGGAGGAAGTAGCAGTCAGCCAGTGAGGAGTAGCGGGGCAAAGTTTCCTACTCGGAGGTGTGGCAATTTTTCGTCAAGCCGCCCGAGGAAGTAAACGTAGCCGTATGTCGACTATGTGGCCAGAAAGTCAAGCGTGGCCAGGGGGCCCATGTTGGGACTACAGCGTTGCGTCAGCATATGCAGCGTCGCCATTCGGTGGCCTGGGAAAACCGTGATAAAGATACGGCGGTTCTGCCTGCCCCAGCCCCTGCTCCATCACCCGCTCCATTACTTGCTCCGTCACCCGACGTCAATCGCCCTCTATCAGCCAGTCAAGGCTCCAACACCTCTGCTGAGGGGAGTTGTCGCTCGTTGGCATCTTCCGCTCGTTCAGATGCTCCTTCTGCTACTCCTCTTCTCGGATTCCGTCAGCAGTCTTTCTTGGAATCCGTTTCCAAGAGACAACAGTTTGCGAGCACGCACCCGACGGTGCAAAAGCTGAACGTCCTCCTGTCCAAGTTGCTGGTGCTGCAGTCCCTCCCTTTCCAACTGGTGGACTCAGCACCTTTCCGAGAAATGATGGCTTGTGCCGCGCCGCGGTGGAGAGTGCCAAGCCGTCATTTCTTCGCCAAAAAGGCAGTGCCAGCCCTGCATTCACATGTAGAAGAGATGGTGGGCCAGTCTTTGAGCATGTCGGTCTCTGCCAAAGTGCACGGCAGCGCCGACGTGTGGAGCTGTAACTACGGTCAGGGACAGTACATGTCATTTACGGCCCACTGGGTGAACGTGGTGCCGGCACAGCCGCACCAGCAACTTGGACAGGTCACGATGCTTTTGCCTCCACGTTTGCACGTCCTTGGTCCAGCAAACATGTCCGCCTCTACCATCTCTTCTTCCGCCGTGTCCTCAGCCGCCACCCCCGTGCCAAGTCCCATTACCCGACCGGCATATCACATGTGCAGGGCGCAACGGTGTCACGCTGTGCTGCACCTGGTATGCCTTGGCAAACATAGTCACACAGGGGAGGAACTTCTGAGTGTAATGAACAGAGAAATCGACAGATGGCTGTCTCCGCGCAAACTGAAAATCGGAACCATGTTGACCGACAACGGAAAGAACATGGTGTCTGCTCTGCGTCAAGGAAGGTTGTGCCATGCGCCATGCATGGCTCACGTGTTCAATCTGGTTGTCAAGCGGTTCCTAAAATCCACCATCCCACTGCAAGACATCCTTAAAATGTCACGTAAACTTTGCATGCATTTCAGCCATTCCTACACCGCAAAGCACACCCTCCTTGAGCTGCAGCGGCAGAACGGAATTCCACAGCATCGCCTGATCTGCGACGTTGCAACAAGGTGGAATTCAACCCTACACATGTTAGACCGCCTTTTACGAGCAGTGAAAGGCCATCACCGATTTCCTGATGTTACAAGCGGATAAAGGTACTACCCCTGTGTAACTTAGATGTCAGCCATTGGCAGCTCATGCGTGACACCTGCCGCTTGCTCAGGCCCTTTGAGGAGGCCACGCTATTCGTGAGTCGGCAGGACTATGGGATGAACGACGTCATTCCTCTGTTGCACGTCCTGGAACAAATGCTGTTAACAATGGCTGGTCAGGGTGCGGTAGACGTGGCGCACAGATCTCAACGCCACATGACCCCTGTGGGGGCAGGACAGGAAGAAGAGGAGGAGGTAGAGGAGGACATTGGTGCTCAGGAATTATTGAGTGAAATGGGTGGTTTTTCCACTCAGCGGACAGGAGTGGAGGAGCAGGAGCATCTGGTAGAGGAGGAGGAGGAGACAGAGGACCCAGACGCACCGTGGCAGTATGCTGTGGAGATGGAGGCAGGGAGTCCCTCGCATTCCTTGGCACAAATGGCCCATAGCATGCTCGGTTGCTTGCGTAGCGACAGCCGAATAATAACCATCATCAGACAGAGGGATGACTTTTTGGCTGTCCACCTTGTTGGACCCTGCTACCGTTCCAAAATGGTGGCCTTTTTCACACCTGCTGAGAGGGAGGCCAAAATTACGTACTATAAAAACCACCTATGTAGTCAGTTGGTCTCTGCCTTTGTGCGCCAACGTCCATCCTCAGACACTGTGGGCCCTGTGCGCTCGCGTTCCGCTGCCATGGCAGCAGGGGATGGGGGTGGGGTGGTAGGAGCAGTGGCAGCTCCACCAGCAGCGGCTGCCTCAGTCTGCAGTCGATGATGAGTAGCTTTCTTCACCAGCGCAGTGAGGAAACTACTAACCAGCCGCAGCAGCAGCAGCAGCAGCAGCATCAGGTGGACCTGGAGCAGGAGCTCAAACAACAGGCTTGGGCCTACTTGGACAGCACCCTGCCCAACCGAGGTAGACAATCCCCTTGACTACTGGGCAACGAAACTTGACCTTTGGCCCCAACTAGCTGAATTTGCCCTTGAAAGGCTGTCATGCCCGGCCAGTAGCGTGGCATCGGAGCGCGTGTTTAGTGCGGCAGGAGGTATTGTAACTCCGCGGAGGACACGACTGTCCACCAAAGTGTGGAGAGACTCACGTTTGTGAAAATGAATCAGGCGTGGATTAGTCTGGATTTCAAACCACCAGTTCCTGACACAACTGACTAAATCCGCCATGAATCATGCCCTAAAACATGTGCCACTTTCAGGTCTCCGCACACTGCTGCTGGTGTGTTTCATTTTTCCTCCTTCGCCACTCCTGCCATGGGCACTCCTGTACCGCCTCCACATTCGTGCTGCCAGGTCAGAGTGTGTCATGGGTTCCCTGTACGGCTCCATTGCTGCTGTCGTCCCATCTGCCACACTCTGCCATGTGCCACTTTCCAGGTCCTCCTCACACTGCTGTGTGGGTTCCATTTTTTTTGTCATAGGGGCTGGCCAGATTACGGGCCTCCCATTGCTGCTAGCCAGGCCCGTAATCTGCCATGGGCCCCGCGTACCGACTCCTCATGCTGCTGCCTGGCCCGTAAATCTGTCATGGGCCCCTGTACCGCCTCCTCATGCTGCTGCATAGGTCCAGAGTGTGTCATGGGGTCCCTGTAACGGTCCTCCCATTGCTGGCGGATTGTCTCCACGCCACACTCTGCCATGTGCCACTTTCAGGTATCCTCACATGGGTTTCCATTTCGACTAGGGTGTGCTGGCGAGCTTACGGGGCCTCCATCGCTGCTGCCAGAAGCCCGTAATCTGTCATGGGCCCCCTGTACGCTGCCTCCTCATCTGCCAGGTTTCCAGAGTAAGCTGTCATGGGTACCCCCCTGTTACTGCCTCCTCATGCTGCTGCCATCGTCCATGAGTGTGTCATGGGCCACAGCCGTACGGTCGTCCTCACATTGCTGCGTGCCAGGCCCGTAATCTGCCATGGGCCCCTGTACCGACTCCATGCGCTTGGCTTGCGTGCCATGTCCCGTAATGTGTCAAGGAGTCCCTGTACGGCTTCCCATTTGCTGTGCCCAGGTACCCGTAATCTGCCATGGGCCCCCCGTACCGACTCCCATTGCTGCTGTCTGCCATCGCCCGTAATACTGCCATGGGGCCCCTTGTACCAGCCTCCTCACATCTGCTGGTGGGTTCCATTTTGTCATAGGTTGGGTGTGGCTGATTTTACGGAAGCTCCCATTGGCTGCTGCCAGTCTCTATCCCAAAATCTGCCATGTGCCACATGTCACCGCCCTCCTCATGCTGCTGCTGCTAGGTTTCCACATTGTGTCATGGGTCCCTGTACCGCCTCCCATTGCTGCTGTCTCCATCGCCCCACTCTGCCACATGTGCCACTGCCTTTCAGGTCTCCTCACACTCCTGCTGGTTTCCATTTTGTCATAGGGTTGCTGGCAGATTACAGGCCTCCCATAGGTGCTGCCAGGCCAAATCTGCCATGCTGGGCCCCCGTAATCCGCCTCCCCATGCTGCTGCTAGGTCCACAGTGTGTCATGGGTACCCTGTACGGCCTCCCATTGCTGCTGTCTCCATCGCCACACTCTGCCATGTGCCACTTTCAGGTCTCCTCACACATGCTGGTGGGTTCCAATTTTGTCATAGGTTGCTGGCAGATTACGGGCCTCCCATAGGTGCTGCCAGGCCCAAAATCTGCCATGGGCCCCCGTAACCGCTCCTCCTCACGCTGCTGCTAGGCCCGACATCTGTGTCATGGGCCCCTGTACCGCCTAAATGCTGCTGTCTCCATTGTTTTATCAACTTGTTTCACTGTGCCATTGCCACTTTCAGGGTCCCTCAACTCCTGCTGGTTCCATTTTGTCATAGGCTGCTGGCAGCTATGAGTTCAGGCCTCCCATAGGTGCTGCCAGGCCCCAAATCTGCCATGGGCCCCCGTACCGCCTCCTCACGCTGCTGCTAGGTCCACAGTGTGTCATGGTTCCCTGTACCGCCTCCCATTGCTGCTGCCTTCTCCATCGCCACACTCTGCCATGTGCCACTTTCAGGTCTCCTCACACTCCTGCTGGGTTCCATTTTGTCATAGGTTGCTGGCAGATTACGGGCGTCTCCCATAGCTGCTGCCAGGCCCCTAATCTGCCATGGGCCCCCGTAACGCCTCCTCACGCTGCTGCTAGGTCCACAGTGTGTCATGGTTCCCTGTACCGCCTCCCATTGCTGCTGTCTCCATCGCCACACTCTGCCATGTGCCACTTTCAGGTCTCCTCACACTCCTGCTGGGTTCCATTTTGTCATAGGATGCTGGCAGATTACAGGCCTCCCATAGCTGCTGCCAGGCCCCTAATCTGCCATGGGCCCCCGTACCGCCTCCTCACGCTGCTGCTAGGCCCACAGTGTGTCATGGGTCCCTGTACGGCCTCCCATTGCTGCTGTCTCCATCGCCACACTCTGCCATGTGCCACTTTCAGGTCTCCTCACACTGTGGTGGGTTCCATTTTTGTCATAGGTTTCTGGCAGATTACGGGCATCTCCCATAGCTGCTGCCAGGCCCCTAATCTGCCATGGCCCCTGTACCACCTCCTCACGCTGCTGCCAGGTCCACAGTGTGTCATGGGTCCCTGTACGGCCTCCCATTGCTGCTGTCTCCATCGCCACACTCTGCCATGTGCCACTTTCAGGTCTCCTCACACTGCTGCTGGGTTCCATTTTGTCATAGGGTGCTGTATGGCCTCCCATTGCTGCTGCCTCCACCGCCACACTGTGGCTCCAAACTCTGGTTTTGGCCCCGTGACTGCCCAAATGAGTGAAGTGTGCGGTGATTCTAAGATCGACGGCACTCATCTGCATGTCATACTGAGTGACAGTATTATTTCTCTTCCCCAGCAGACTCCAAGGGCATTTAAATTAAAGGTACAGTGTTCTGCACTAATATAAAGGCTCTCTGAAGCCTAGAAACACCCTTTTATAAGTTAAATTCACAGCGAATATATTCGACTCGAATCGAATTTTTTCCACGAATTCGCCGAATCAGTCGAATCGAATTTTTGAATACTTCGCTCATCTCTAGTTACATTAATCCAAGTTGTAAAACATGCCATACCCAGTAATCTTCTTTAATGAGTATGATATTGATCCTATCATGTAATTTGTGTGTCCCCACTATATAATCATATAATTCATCAGGAATCAATTGTTTTTATGAGTTTATGGGCAGTAAAAATTTCATAGTGTTTTTATACAAATTATTATAAGAGAACGCTTTCCCGCCACCCCGGCCCTTTAAAGAGGATCTAAATGCCAGAAAGAGAAGGCATTCTTTCAGAACTTGTGACCACTGAAATTTGCTGTCACAACGGTCACATGATTGGAAGCTCCTGATCGCAAGTATGCATCAGGAACTGCCCTGTTGCCACTGTTGTTACTGTTGTCACTGTGATATCTTACTTACTGTGCTAGGAGAGCACAGCGAGCATGTTCTCAGCACAGAAAAGCTGTTCCCCATCGAAGCACATTGGTGGCCACTCAGCACTATATTCCACCCTCTGAGTGGCCACATATATGCGTATGGCTAGTGAGAAAAAAGTTCAATATAAATTCTTTGATATATGGCTTCTCATGTATTTTGTAGTCCTGATGAAGCAGAAGTGTTTTTAGCTTCCAAAACATTGGCTTTTTTACGTGGTTGTATTACGCAATCATTAAAGAAACTTTGACTCTTTAAACCACTTGGTTTGGTGCTCCTTGTGTTTTTATGCTTTGAGTCATATTCTAGATACCCATCAAGGGGAGCCTTGATTTGAGCCAAAGGCCTTACCAAAGTTGCATTATGATGTTTCTTCCATCCCTACTCAATAAGTCTTAAAGTACCGTCAACTTTTGGATTTGTCTTTTTGAATTTTCAAAATGTGATCAACAATGGCAGCCTCCATATTTTTGTCAGCAAAGGTTTGCTATGAATATACACACCTACAGTTGACAAGTATAATCAGAGATACATCCATCTGATAAAAACTCTGTTAACACCTGGGTCACCTGAAACCAGGGAGCTGGAGTCTGTATATCACAGGAGACAGATGCTCATTCTAATAATCAGTTTGTAATCCTTCTCTAATTGTTGTGCATACAAATAGATTAGAACACTGAACTCCCCTGTCTAGTTTGTGTTTTCCGTGTTCTCATATTTGCACAATATTATGTACTATTTACCAAGCATGCAGCACAAAAAAGATAGCTCACTTGGAAAGCTTGCTACGAATTTCACTATAGTTAGCCATTATGTTTAGACTTCTATCATTTGAACTCACCAAAGAGTTGAGTACTGAATATAATACCTTTTTTTAAACTGTACCAACAGGTTCTTTTGTTTGGACAAGGTTTTAAGATCTACTCTCTTCTTCAGGGAAAGTGAAACTTTCAAAAACTTTTTAAAATGATTCTGTCCATGTTAAAGAATTCCAGGTAAGGCATTTTTACATACTGTAGTTACATTGTTTCAGCTTGGACCAATGTAACTATACATATACCATACCTGTAGGATTCCTCTAGAAGCTGGAAATCTCTCTAGTAGAAACTGCTACACCAGAGATCTCCGCCAGCTTCAGGGTCCCATGCCAAGCAGCTGCCCTGCTGCATTGTGAACACAGAAGGTGAACCCTTACATATACCCAGTGAAGTAACTGGCCTTGGGTGATACAAAGCCCCAGACCAATGAGCTTTGTAAATTGTTTAATGGCACTTTTAAACACACTGGGAATTGTATCTAATCTACCTGCTGTTTGTTTATCGTGGGTGCCCCACACTTCGACTGCAGACCCTTCAATCTCATACGAAAGGCCTAGGAAAGGCAGAATGTTGGTGCAGGGGTTTAGTGATAGAGCATGTCCCGAAGGTCTTGGAGAAAATGGACACTCTGATAAGCTTGGTGCAGGAAAAACTTTACCCAGGCCCAGTCCACCCAGTAGCTGTGGTAGGACTAGACTGCATGGTGTATGAAGTGGGCCAGAAGATGTGAGTTACTGATCCCCATATGGCATATTAAGCTGAAGGCAGCATGGGAGAGACTGAACACAAGAGAATTAATCATGTTAAACTAAGTGGTATCCTGTGACGACTGGGGAA